TTGTTCCCGATTTACAGCATCCACAGTTCTTCAGATTATACTGGGCATTTTAGACAGCAGGTATCGGGAAGTCAGGAATTTGAATTTTTTAAACATAATTGCCTACCAACTCCAAAACCTATCCGTGTTAATTTTGATTTTATTTATCTCATGAGGATTACACAGCACATCTCTCTGAATTCAGTGTGAGTGATTTTCTCTCTGGATTATCTTTAGAAGGAAAGAGGGAACCAAGATTCAAATGGAGATAATTTAAAACATGGCTTGAATTTTCCCCAACAGGGGGAAAACACTAAATTATGCAATTTAAGTGAAACAATACAAATCTGTTTTTCCCTAAAAGTACCCAGCTCGGTACAGAATGCAGACTTCCTGTGGAGAGACAAGTACAGCCACAAACCAATTAACCTAACACATGTCAATAACTGGACTGGTTGGGTTGAGAGCTGCCTCAATAGCATAGAGTTTGGATGCAAAAAAATAGTCAAAAACAGGACAAATATCTACCTCAAATTCAACACAGGGAGAGGTGTCTTGGCTGTTGCCGAAAATTATAACAGTGTGACATATTGATAGGTACTAACAGTAAGATAAGAGTATTGCCCTCTTGGCTGTGATTGGTCAATGGCTTTACAAACCCAAAGTGAGTGAAAAATTAGATATTGTTGCCCTGTAGACTTAACTGAAGGGGACAGTAAGTCTCAGAATAACCAGTGAAGTCAAGATGAGTATAAGATTTCTCAAAACTATGTATTTACTACATCAGTTGCAAAGAAGATACAGAAGCTTGAACATATGCACTAACAGGTTCAAGAACAGCTTCTTCCCTGCTGTCATTAGACTGCTGAATGGACCTCTGTAATTTCAAATCTAACGCTGACCTTGCTTTTGTGCACCTCCTGTGCAGTCATAACCTCGCTCTGTCTAAGCACAACACGATCTGAATGTCCTGGCTTGTTATGATATAACTGTACCACTTGCAAAACAAACCTTTTCACTGTACTTAGGTACATGTGACAACAATAATTCAAAACAAATCAAGCACCTACGAAATTCACAGCCATATCTGTCAAAATAAGCAGTCATGACATTCATGTGGTCATCTATGTCTTTCGAGAAACACACACCAACAAATTTCCCACCATTAGATAACCTTCACATGTAACTGATGTTCCTCACCTCCAAAGCCACATCTGCATGGTTCCAAATCCTGGTTAAGGCTTGCCCACTTTGCCAAGTACTCACCATGTACAATAGCGAGGGCTAGAATTCCACCAGTGCTGGTCCCCGATATCCAATCGAACAGCTCCCGGACAGGCTGGCCAGCAGCCTGCTCAATGGCAATAAGCAGCTGAATGAGGACAAGGCCTCGAATTCCACCCCCATCCAAGCACAGCAAACGATCATATCTGAAAATCAATACAACAAGGTCAAACACTCCCTATATTATTATGTATTACTTCCTTTACCCCAAAATGGGGTTTGATTACCACCAAAACTGTATTTTGTCTGTTCAATTCATTTTCTCACCTCCTGTGCCCATATCCATCACCGTCTGCAGCATCTAGCCCTTTTGATAAGGAACCGACTACAGTGGCAATCCCCAAGATATCCTCGAAACCTGGAAACAGAAGACACTTTATTGGTTACAAGGCCATGCTACTTTTCCATTCAAAGTGCAAACTCATACACAACTGTTGTTATTTGATTTGAGGTAGAGAAGTATAACAAATTTTTGGTGGATTAGTACTTGGAAGGCTTGGACTAATAATCTGGAGAACAGAAGTTCAAAACTCACCATAGCATTCACAAAACTTTAATTCAGTTTAAAATTCAAAAGTAAAGAGCTGGGTTCAGTGACCATGAGCTATGAGATTGTTGTAAAAGCCTAACTGGCTAATGACATTTCGGGAAAGGGTCCTAGTTCCAGTCTTTGTGTTAGTCCAATCCCACCAACATAGTTGATTCTTAAGCACTCTCTGAAATTTCCTAGCAAGCTATTCCGTTATAATAAATCACCATCATCACTACCAGTTCAGAAAGGTGGCCAAACTACCACCTTCTCAAATAGGAGTAGGAAATAAAGGTAAACTAGCTATGTGGCCATGACCCAAGGGTGGTGCCTGAAACACGTTCACAAAATAAATGATGCACTGGGATAATGATCTCCTACGATCAACATTCACTGAAAGGTTTCACAGGAGTTGCTTTAAAATATTGCTGTGGCATTTGCTAAGGAACTAGCTTCAATTGCCAGCCTGCACTGAATCAACTCATTTCCCATTAAGGGACATTCAGCAAAGCACAGTTGGTCACTTCACCACTAGATCAGCTATCCCTCTTCCACGCTGCCAACTGCTATCTAGGAAAGGACATTTAGAGAATCATGGAGGCCAGATTAAATAGCTACCTGACAATCAATGCTTAGCACACATAAGAAAAGTTAATCGAACTATGGATCCTCAGTTTGCTGAGTACATTTTAGGAGATTGATAGATTTGAAAATCTAAGAGCATCAAAGGGATATAGTGATCAGGCAGGAATGTAGCCCGAAAGTCGAGGATCAGCCACAACTCTTAAATGGAGGAGCTAGTTCCTACATCTTTCTTCCTCCAGGACAGAAGTTCAAACAGAATCTGCCTACAGTAGCTAGTCAGTCAGGAAAATGTGTACAAACTGTACTCACACCCAGCATTTTCAGAAACAGATGTTTTCAAAATGACGACTCAGCACTGTCTGGCTACTCTTGTATTTGAATTTACAGGCTGGTAAATGGAAATTAAAGGATCTGTTCACTGTGTAAAAACTTAAGAAAACATAAGCCATTTCACAGTCACCTTTCCAGTGAAGTTAAACACAAGACCTTCCATTCATTTATCAGCAGTCTTAACAAATTAAAACTTCAGCGTAATTCAAAAATAAATAAAAAGCAGAATTAAAAGTAAAGAAAATAGACAACAGAGGAAAGACAAATCTTGCAGAGTAGCTTGGCCTGTAATTATTTTTGATGGACAATTATTTTAGAAGATGATTCCCTTCACCCACCCCAACCCCGGTGCAAAGCAGGACAGGAATCCAGGATACAGAAGCGAGGATGTAGCAACAGGGGCCAAATGGCTGAGGTTACCTAATCCATGGTTGGTTTTCACTGGGACTGGTCTTGTAGTATGGCTGGGTAACGGTGTGGGGGAGTCTGGAGAAGGCGGATAACAGCGTTCAGCCCCTATACTATACAGTAGGCTCAGCATCACCTTCCGATTATTGCCTTTGAAGGCATCAAACAGTTAGTACCGGGATATAAACAAGCAAAGCACAATCTTTATTCTGAACTAAAAAGAAACACATTTACAACATGCAGGCTTAACTGTTATTTATTGATAATGCACCTTTTAAAACATGAGCAAAAATCGCACAGTTTCAAACCATATTAGAGCACCATCTTAGGCTCTTTCTCAGGAGCAAGACTTCTACATTAAGAAGCTTGCTCCTACTTTTCCCATTTATTTCCTTTAATCAAGTGTGGGAGAGGTTGGGAAGTGAGAGAAGAGGAAGAGTTTCATTTAGCTGAGGCAAGCTTGTCCAAGACAGCTTCTTTGTTTATTACCCAGTTAATTTCTGTTATATATGAGCTATTTTTCTCTCTGACATGAGAATTTAAACGTGCGGATAAATTTGAACTATTCTGCATTGCATTTATGCACAATCTTGGCCAAGATCATCTTTTTGAAACTCCTCTCTCCAGTCTTTCCCAAACTGGATATCTTTCCTACAATTCAAAAAGCAATTCATTCACAGGCAACAATTTCTAGACATGTGGGTTAGGTACATTGCTGCTTCCATCATCAGCAGTCAAGTTGGATGGGCAACTTAATCCAAAGCCATAGCTGAATGTGTCCTTACAGAAGCCATTGGAAACTGCAGAAAATCAGTACAGGGAAAACTGCATCCTTATCAAAGGAACAAATAATTATAGATGCTGGAAAACAGGAACAAAATCAAGAATTTGCTGGACAAACTCAGTAGGTCTGGCAGCACCTGTGGAGAGAAAAACAGTTAACAATTCTGGTCCAGTGACCCTTGTTCAGAACAGTTCTGCCAGATCTGCTGAGTTTTTCTAGCAATTTCTGATTTTGCTCCTTATCAATGGGACAGGGCCAGGCTTATAGTCAGAAACCGAACCCCAAATAATGCAAATGATTGCTCACCATATTGAATGTTTGTAACAAGTTAAACAAAGCAAGTTAAATTTTCTTTCACGTATTCAGTACTTGTAAATAAATTGTAGGATAGCACTTTAAAAACAATAGCATTCCATGACACAAGCTGGTATCAGCTGAAAATCAATGCATCATAATATCTCATGCAACATGCTCTGGTCACAGTGTCTTAGTGAATTAGTGTCCGATCAAGCGCTTGGAGTCACATAATATACCATGCATTACACACAACTCCATATACCAAAAGCAATCACATACAACTCTCCACATTTCACATTCCTCGACTTCAATACATTTACCACCTTTACAACATATTTTTAAATCATAAAGGCATACACTCGAACAAGGCCCTCAAAAGGGCGTCCATGCAGAAATACATGCACACACATTGGCTTTGTTTACTACAGCAACATACAATTGCACAGAAGGCTTGGGTGGAAACTTGAAGTGCCACTCCTCTATTCTTCATTTCAGCTGCCCTTGCGAGAATAGCTCCTCAAAGGAAGAGGAAATCTTGGCCACACACTGCAGCTGCTTCATGACCGTGAATGGCAGTTTGTTTAGAATCCCTACAGTGTGGAAACAGGCCATTCGGCCCAACAAGTCCACACTAACTCTCTGAAGAGCAGCCTACCCAGACTCACATTCCTACTGCTTCTCTATAATCCTGCATATTCCCATGGCTACTCCACCTGACCTGTACATCCCTGGATGCTATGGGCAATTTAGCATGGACAATCATCTAACTTGCACATCTTTGGGCTGTGGAAGGAAACCCACACACTCACGGGGAGAATGTGAAAACTCTGCACAGATAGTCGCCCAAGGGTGGAATTGAACTGGGTCCCTGGCACTGTGAGGCAGCAATGCTAACCATGGAGCCACCATGCAGCCCTCATAGGAAGGATTTAGTGGGATATGGGCCAAGTGCTGGCAAATGGGACAAGACTAATTTAGGATATCTGGTCAGCATGGGCGAGTTGGACCGAAGGATCTGTTTCCATGCTGTATCACTCTATGATGCTACTTAACATCACAAGGGTGCAGCATTAGCAGGAAGACTACGATGACTCAGGGAGAAGAACACAACCATTATCTTCTCAGGGCAACATGGGATGAACAATAAATGTTCCAGCATTGCACATGTTCCAAAAATGCGTGTCTGCCTCCTACTGGAGAAGCATTAGGGGAATTGAGGAGGAAGTAACATCTAGCCATTCTGCTGCAGTCAAAGGAGAAAGGAAGGAGGGATATTGTCCCCTCAAAATGAAGCCTGACCAGGCAGTAGCTTTAGGTTTAAAGTAATTTTCACACTTTATAGCACTCTCCAAGCACCCACTGGCTATTCAGGGATGGCAGTAGTGGTAAGGACAGTGGCGGTAAGGATCGTGGAAGAGACAGGTTGGATAGAGGGCTCATACAGAACCTTATTTCGGTTCCAAAATACGAAAACAGTCAAGGTAAAAAAACTGGGAAAACAGCAATCATAAAGGAAGATTAGGAAACAGTTTAAGAAGTGAACTATCTTTGCACAGAAAACCAAAAAACCACAGTAGGGGTTCATTATGAAGTAATTCTATTTAAACTTCATACTCAGTTGTTTTTGATAAATCTTACAACTCTAGGACAGCTGCAAAAATTTTTAAAAGGCCTGGACTTTTTTGTGAAAGACCAAATTATTTGCAGTCAATCCAGCCCTAGCAGTCTTCAGGTATACCTTGTTAAGTTAAAGATTTCCCCACCTTTACTGTGGCGTGCAGCAATTAAACCAGGTGTCTCGCCGAAATCATTGGGCAATTTCACATCAGCCCCAAATACGATCAGAGCCTTGATAAGATCCAGATTATCTAGCTGCAACAGTAGTAGAAAGTTACTTTACAAATTTTAATAAAAGTACATTTCAAGAGTGTTTAAGTTTATATATTATTCTTTAGAAGGAATCGTGCTTAAATTTTGAATCAGCATTTTTTGGCAAAGTGAAGTAAACACCACGCCTCAGTCAAGGGCGAGGTTGGGAAGGACAGTCCTTCATGGTAACCTCAGTTGATGCAAGAATTGAACCCATGTTACTGGCATCATTCCACATCGCAAACTAACTTCTTGACAAGACCACTTGAAAAAACACACATTATGCTCACTCTTGGAAATAAAATCTCTTGCATTGAAAATGCACACGCCACACAGGGTGCTTGCAACTTTGGCGCAGAATTGGAAACTTTACGGTTATGCATAGTTACAACTCATTACAATGCCCCTGGGCTAGGAAGAAGAGGAAAAGAAAACAATCCAATTAGTCCAATTGGAAAATTCAATTTTGGGGCAAATAAAGGCACACCGTGTAAGAACAGCATCCAATGCCCACCATAATTAATAGCCTGCTATCAGTCGCCATTTAATCCTGGCACACAAGGATGAATGCCAATGTCTGTCCATCAGCGCCCCAGTATGAGTCAATGACCTTATGATAAACAAGAAGATAAATGCTAACAATTCTTTTCCATTTGTGGAACGCCCATTCACAGTCTCTTTCCTCTCCAGCTGAAATAACAAAAAACTTTCTCCTCCCATATCAACAATTAACACAGTCTTGAGATCAGTGGGCAGGAAATGAGCCTTAAACATCAAAGTTAGTGGGGGCTAACCACTGGGCTACTCTCCCAATGTTATTTTCTTAAATTATCAAGATATTAGTTGCACAGAAACCCATGATCACACTTAATTCCATCCTACTCAATCACTGAGAAACCCATACACAATTTAGGAGCAAATTACTGCAGATGCTGGAATCTGTACTGAAAACAAACAAAAAAATGCTGAAAATCTCAGCGGGTCAAGCAGCATCTGTGGAGAGAGAGCAAGCTAACGTTCCAAGTCTGGATGACTCTTCATCAGAGCTGCCGTGAAGCGTGGAGGCAACAGCATTTATGCAATAATTGGGGGTGGGTAGCATGCTGGGGGAGAAGGGGTGTTGATAGTGCAGATTAAGTGATTGAAACTGGAATGCTCAGAACACATTCAGAACACTTAATCTGCACTATCAGCACCGTTTCTCCCCCAGCACTCCATCCCCGCACTATTGCATAAATTCTGTCCCCTCCACACCTCACATCAGCTCTGATGGAAAGTCAACTAGACTCGAAACGTTAGCTTGCTCTCTCTCCTTGGATAGTCCTGACCCGCTGTGATTTCCAGCACTTTTTGTTTTCACCCATAAACAAATGTTCATTTCAGTAGGGACATAATCAATGCTACAAGCTAACAGAGACTTGATATGGACTATCACGAACTAGAATTATTCTGTAAAATGCTAAAAGTGTTGACCTCCATGGCAAGATGAAGAGGAGTATTCCCACTTTCGCCTTTTGAATTTGTATCTGCTCCATGTACTAACAGAAGCATGGCACACTCAAAACGTCCGCGTTTCACCATGATGTGCAATGGCGTCTCTCCTGTTTTACTTAGGTAGTTCAAGGCGCATCCATGGTTAATCAGCAGTCGGATCATCTGAAATTATTCATTCAAAACAGTGTTATAATGCCAGAACAAAAAGAAACTTGCATTTATGTAGAGCCTTTCATAACCTCAGAACATTACAAAGCACTTTAGAACATAGAACATTACAGCGCAGTACAGGCCCTTCGGCCCTCGATGTTGCACCGACCTGTGAAACCAAGCTGAAGCCCATCTAACCTAAACTATTCCATTATCATCCATATGTTTATCCAATGACCAGTTAAGTGCCCTTAAAGTTGGCGAGTCTACTACTTTTGCAGGCAGGGCATTCCATGCCCTTACTATTCTCGGAGTAAAGAACCTACCTCTGACATCTGTCCTATATCTATCACCCCTCAATTTAAAGCTACGTCCCCTCGTGCTAGCCACCACCATCCGAGGAAAAAGGCTCCCACTGTCCACCCTATCTAATCCTCTGATCATCTCGTATGTCTCTATTAAGTCACCTCTTAACCTTCTTCACTCTAACAAAAACAGCCTCAAGTCCCTCAGCCTTTCCTCATAAGACCTTCCCTCCATACCAGGCAACATCCTGGTAAATCTCCTCTGCACCCTTTCCAATGCTTCCACATCCTTCCTATAACGCGGTGACCAGAACTGTACGCAATACTCCAAGTGCGGCCGCACCAGAGTTTTGTACAGCTGCCACATGACCTCATGGCTCCGAAACTCAATCCCTCTACCAATAAAACCTAACACACTGTACGCCTTCTTAACAACCCTATCATCCTGGGTGGCAACTTTCAGGGATCTATGCACATGGACACCGAGATCTCTCTGCTCATCCACACTGCCAAGAATCTTACCATTAGCCCAGTACTCTGTATTCCTGTTACTCCTTCCAAAGTGAATCACCTCACACTTTTCCGCATTAAACTCCATTTGCCACCTCTCAGCCCAGCTCTGCAGCTTATCTATGTCCCTCTGTAACCTGCAACATCCTTCCGCACTATCCACAACTCCACCGACTTTGGTGTCATCCGCAAATTTACTAACCCATCCTTCTACGCCCTCATCCAGGTCATTTATAAAAATGACAAACAGCAGTGGCCCCAAAACAGATCCTTGAGGCACACCACTAGCAACTGAACTCCAGGATGAACATTTCCCATCAACCACCACCCTCTCTGTCTTCTTACAGCTAGCCAATTTCTGATCCAAACCGCTAAATCACCCTCAATCCCATACCTCCGTATTTTCTGCAATAGCCTACCATGGGGAACCTTCTCAAACGCTTTACTGAAATCCATATACACCAGATCAACCGCTTTACCCTCATCCACCTGTTTGGTCACCTTCTCAAAGAAATCTAAGGTTTGTGAGGCACGACCTACCCTTCACAAAACAGTGTTGACTATCCCTAATCAAATTATTCCTTTCTAGATGATTATAAATCCTATCTCTTATAATCCTTTCCAACACTTTACCCACAACCGAAGTAAGGCTCACTGGTCTATAATTACCAGGGTTGTCTCTACTCCCCTTCTTGAACAAGGGGACAACATTTGCTAGTCTCCAGTCCTCTGGCACTATTCCTGTAGACAATGACGACATAAGGATCAAAGCCAAAGGCTCTGCAATGTCCTCTCTAGCTTCCCAGAGAATCCTAGGATAAATCCCATCCGGCCCAGGGGACTTATCTATTTTCACACCTTCCAGAATTGCTAACACCTCCTCCTTATGAACCTCAATCCCGTCTAGTCTAATAGCCTGTATCTCACTATTCTCCTCGACAACAATGTCTTTTTCCTGTGTGAATAATGACGAAAAATATGCATTTAGCGCCTCTCCTATCTCCTCAGACTCCACGCACAACTTCCCACTACTGTCCTTGACTGGCCCTAATCTTACTCTAGTCATTCTTTTATTCCTGACATACCTATAGAAAGCTTTAGGGTTTTCCTTGATCCTACCTGCTAAAGACTTCTCATGTCCCCTCCTGGCTCTTCTTAGCTCTCTCTTTAGGTCCTTCCTGGCTAACTTGTAACTCTCAAGCGCCCTAACTGAGCCTTCACGCCTCATCTCTACATGAGCCTCCTTCTTCCTCTTGACAAGAGATTCAACTTCTTTAGTAAACCACGGTTCCCTCGCTCGACCACTTCCTCCCTGCCTGACAGGTACATACTTCTCAAGGACACGCAGTAGCTGTTCCTTGAACAAGCTCCACATTTCAATTGTGCCCAGCCCCTGCAGTTTCCTTCTCCATCCTATGCATCCTGAATCTTGCCTAATTGCCTCATAATTGCCTTTCCCCCAGCTATAACTCTTGCCCTGCGGTATATACCTATCCCTTTCCATCGCTAAAGTAAACGTAACCAAATTGTGGTCACTATCACCAAAGTGCTCACCTACCTCCAAATCTAACACCTGGCCTGGTTCATTACCCAGTACCAAATCCAATGTGGCCTCGCCTCTTGTTAGCCTATCTACATACTGTGTCAGGAAACACTCCTGCACACATTGGACAAAAACTGATCCATCTAAAGTACTCGAACTATAGCATTTCCAGTCAATATTTGGAAAGTTAAAGTCCCCCATAACAACTACCCTGTTACTTTCACTCCTATCCAGAATCATCTTTGCAATCTTTTCCTCTACATCTCTGGAACTTTTCGAAGGCCTATAGAAAACTCCCAACAGGGTGACCTCTCCTTTCCTGTTTCTAACCTCAGCCCATACTACCTCAGTAGACGAGTCCTCATCAAACGTCCTTTCTGCCACCGTAATACTGTCCTTGACTAACAATGCCACACCTCCCCCTCTTTTACCACCTTCCCTGATCTTACTGAAACATCTAAACCCCGGAACCTGCAACAACCATTCCTGTCCCTGCTCTATCCATGTCTCCGAAATGGCCACAACATCGAAGTCCCAGGTACCAACCCATGCTGCAAGTTCACCCACCTTATTCTGGATGCTCCTGGCATTGAAGTAGACACACTTCAAACCACCTTCCTGCCTGCCGGTACACTCCTGCGACCTTGAAACTTTATTCATGACCTCACTACTCTCAACCTCCTGTACACTGGAGCTACAATTCAGGTTCCCATCCCCCTGCTGAATTAGTTTAAACCCTTCCGAAGAGCATTAGCAAATTTCCCCCCCAGGATATTGGTACCCCTCTGGTTCAGGTGTAGACCATCCCGTTTGTAGAGGTCCCACCTACCCCAGAATGAGCCCCAATTATCCAGGTATCTGAATCCCTCCCTCCTGCACCATCCCTGTAGCCATGTGTTCAACTGCTCTCTCTCCCGATTCCTCGCCTCGCTAGCATGTGGCACGGGTAACAAACCAGAGATAACAACTCTGTTTGTTCTAGCTCTAATCTTCCACCCTAGCTCCTTGAATTTCTGCCTTACATCCCCATCCCCTTTCCTGCCTATGTGGACCACGACTTGGGGCTGCTCCCCCTCCCCCTTAAGGATCCTGAAAACACGATCCGAGACATCACCGACCCCGGCACCTGGGAGGCAACACACCAACCGCGAGTCTCTCTCGTTCCCACAGAATCTCCTATCTGTCCCCCTAACTATGGAGTCCCCAATGACTAATGCTCTCCTCCTCTGCACCCCCCCTTCCCTTCTGAGCAACAGGGACAGACTCTGTGCCAGAGACCTGTACCCCATGGCTTACCCCTGGTAAGTCATTCCCCCCAACAGTATCCAAAACGGTATACTTGTTTTTGAGGGGAACGGCCACAGGGGATCCCTGCACTGTCTGCCTGTTCCCTTTCTGTCCCCTGACTGTAACTCATCTACTTTTTTCCTGCACCTGAGGTGTGATACCTCCCTGTAACTCCTCTCAATTACCCTCTCAGCCTCCCGAATGATCCGAAGTTCATCCAGCTCCAGCTCCAGTTCCTTAACGCGGTTTCCGAGGAGCTGGAGTTGGGTGCACTTCCCACAGATAAATAGCACATGTAGTTGTTTTGAATCATTGTCAATGCTGTAGAGAAACAAATGGCCAATTCACCAGCAAGGTACCACAAAAAACAATGTGATAATTGACCAGATAATCTGATTTCACATTAATTGAGGGACTAATGTTAGTCAGAACAATGGAACCATTCCCCTGCACTTCTTTAACGCCACAAACCTGAGAGGACAGGTTGGACCTGTTACAAATCTCCTCTCAAAGACAACACCTGGACTGTCCTGTGGTGCAATGGTACTGTCCCTATCCCTCAACTGGGAGGCCCGGATTCAAGTACCAACAGCTGCAAAGATGTGTAACATCTCTGAACGGGTTGATTAGGAAAAATAGGTTAAATAAAAAATACTTCAAAAGACAGCACTAAACGGCTCTTGTGGCACAGTGGCAGTTCCCTAATCTCCGAGCTAGGAGATAACACAGTGTAGAGCTGGAGGAACACAGTAGGCCATGGAGCGTCAGAGGCGCAGGAAAGTTGACGTTACGGATCGGGACCCTTCTTCAGAAATGGGGGAGGGAAAGGGAGCTCTGAAATAAATCGAGAGAGGAGGGGTGGGGCTGGGGAAGGTAGGTGGGATGGTGATAGTTGAATGCAGGTAGGCAGTGATGGGGATTGGTCAGTGAGGTGGGAGGAGCGGATAGGTGGGAGAGAAGATGGGCAGGTTGTGTCAGGTCAAGGAGGTGGGGATAAGAGGGAGAGTTGGTCATAGGATGAGGCCAGAGGTGGGGAGATTTTGAAACTAGTAAAGACCACATTGAGACCACTGGGTTGTAGGGTCCCAAGGCAGAATATGAGGTGCTGCCCCTCCAGTTTCTGGGTGGCGTCGTTGTGACACTGGAGGAGGCCCAGGATGGACATGACATCCAGGAGTGGGAGGGGGAGTTGAAGTGGTTCACGACTGGAAGGTCTTGTTGTTTGTTGCAAACAGAGCGCAGGTGCTCCACAAAGCGGTCTCCGAGCCTCCGCTTGGTCTCACCGATGTACAGGAGGCCACATCGGGGGCAGCACATGCAGCAGACCACATTAGTAGATGTGCAGGTGAACCCCTGTCTGATGTGGAAAGTTTTTTTGGCTCCTTGGCTGCAGGTGAGGGGGGAGGGGTAGGGGCAGGTGTAGCACTTCCTGCGGTTGCAGGGAAAGGTGCCGTGGGTGGTGGGACTAGAGGGGAGTGTGGAGCGGACGAGGAAGTCGTGGAGAGAGCGGTCCCTATGGGAGGCAGACAGGGGTGGGGAAGGAAATATATCCTTGGTTGTGGGGTCAGATTGCAGGTGGCAGAAGTGGCGGAGAATGATATGTTGAATCCGGAGGTTAGTGGGGTGATATGTGAGGACAAGGGGGATTCTGTCTTTGCGGGGAGGGGATGTGAGGGCAGAGGCGCAGGAAACGCAAGAGATGCGGTCAAGAACATCTTCTAACACTGAAGAGGGGAAGTTGCGGTCCTTGAAATAAGAGGACATCTGGGATGTTCGGGAGTGGAACGCCCCATCTTGGGAGCGGACGCGACGGAGCCGGAGGAAATGGGAGTAGGGGATCGCATTCTTGCGGGAAAGTGGGCGAGAGGAGGTTAGTCTAGGTAGCTGTGGGAGTCGGTGGGCTTGAAATAGATATCTGTTTTGAGGCGGTCACCAGAGATGGAGACAGAGAGGTCCAAGTCCTTTGAGCCAGGAGACCTGGGTTCAAGTCCCACCTCGTCCAGAGGCATTTAACAACATCTCTGAATAGGCTGAACAGAGAATATTAAAAAAAACACTTCTAACTGGGCTCTGGTGATGCAGCAGTAGTGTCCCTATCTCTGAAACTGCATTCAAGTCCCACCTGTTCCAGAGGCATTTAATTACATCTCTGGTTGATTAAAAAAAAGACAACACTTCCTTAGTAACACAAAGAAGTATCAACCTCCATTGTGTTCAGGCTTCTGGAGTGGGACTTGAACTCATATCCTGACTCAGAGGCTAGAGTGCTGCCACTGAGGAAAAGTTGACATCTTCCTGCACAATGGGAAGATAGTTCACCACAATCTGTTCAAGCTCTTAAACTGGCTCTTCATCTTAATTTTAATGTAAGCTTGAGAACTTTGGACGATAAGTCCTTTGAATGAAAAACTGAACAATATTTAGCCTCCGCAATTAACAAAGCTTAATTCTAGGAATTCTATATGTTTTGGGCATTTTGTTAGCAAGTCATTCATTACAAAGAGAAGCAGAATTCTGCTCCTCCCAATGAAGTGAGAAACAATCAATATCTGTGAAGGTGACACAGCTGTATTTTCGCAAGTGTTTTCTTCTTTCCCAAGAGAATTAATGCTCAACAATAACTCAACATTTGTCAATCATTCACTGTTAGACTTCAGTACAAACACTGTATAACATGATTCCCGATTTGCCAGCACTGTGAACGACTCTTCCAACTGTGAACGGTCATAATTCCCTTTAGTCCAATAGAACTGGCTTGTGCTCAAATGTGGCTCCAAAACCAAGAGGGATCTGCCAGTACTTTTCTTCATGTAATTCCCAGTTTGGAACTCTCTAACAAGCAGCAATCATCACTTGTTCAACTGTTAATTTTTAGTCCGAGACTGAGAGAATTGATTTAGTCAGAAGATATTAATGGAAATGGAGCAGAGGGCAGTATATGGGTTTAGGCCATTTATGACAATATGTTATGGTGTCATTGAATGACAAAACAGGGCTCAAGAGGCTAAATGACCTTCTTCTGTTTCTTCATTTCTAAATACCGATAGGTCTTTACCCTAATGAGCCTTGTGATGTACTTCAGGTGAAGCCCGACTAACTCAGGCCACTTGACAGCTAGATTTGATTCCCTTCTGTTAGCCCAGGAACATTAAATGTAACTACAGTGCTCTAGAAAAGTGTGGCTAAACTCAACACAGATCAGAGATGCGTCTGTACCCTTTCTGTTTGGTATACCACAGGATTATACCATTGAATACATTTACACAATGAGCCGACTAGCCATATACAAGCCTGAGTCTCATTTGTAATTTCTGCTCTGATTTATATGCAGAGTATTTCATTGTCAATATATACACTTTGAACAAAATCTACAAAGATCAAGCACAAAGTATGGAAATGTTAACTAGTGATTGACACAATTACATGCTGATCGCAAACAAAGGCTGCAAAATCAGGAATGCACTGATCATCCAAAACTCACTCTAATGTCATCACAATTCTTAAGTACCAAAGTCCCAGGTGGAGAAGTCTATGAACTGCATTGTAGGGAGAGAAAAAAAAAAACTTACATCTGATTTCTTGGCCCAATGAAGGGGTGTCCCTCCATAATGAGCATCTTCAGTTGAGATTTGACTTGGGTCTGCTTCTAGGATAGCCTCAGCACACCTACAGGGAAATGAATAGGAGAGATGACTGGTGCTAGCATTACACAAATTGGGCCACACATTTACAGTCAGATGGTTAAGAATAATTGAGATCACAATAAAACAACCCAAGTATTAAATGGAACATCTGAAAGATGCGACTTGGCCCAAAGTGAAGTGTCTCGTTCCTCTCTCCCTGTTCTCTCATGAAGGTAATGAGCAAATACACCTTCCTATACAACAATGATATTTTTTGTGTGATAGCCTTGAAGCTGAATATCAGAGTGACTGGTCAATGACTGGCTGGATAACCATGATCAAGCATGACTTACTCTTGAGGTATGCTTAAAAGAGAGACATACTGCTAAGATTTTCATCTTCAATTCATCAGACCAGATGCAAGAATACCAAATCTTAAGAGCATGCTGCTCCCTTTGAAATTTGGCATTCTTGCACCTGTGCTGATGAGTGCAAGACAGAAGCATGTCTCTTTTATCAACAATTCTCAGGTTTTGTACCATCAAGGAACCATTAGCACACTTCAAGACTCCTGAACATCAGCCAGGAGCTTCAGTTCTTACTGATTCTTTTCCTTCTAATTTAAAGGCACTATAATCAAGGGATGCCCCTATTGCTGCTCCAGCTAATGCCATCAATTTTAGCACAAACCAGGAATTAAACCTCGAATCCTCCTGATCCCAATGCCCTTTCCAACTGAATTACAATCAATTAATGCCATGGTATGATTTTAATTTTCCATTTAAATCTCTAAATAGCTAATGACAGCAACAGGAACAGATGAGAAAGTGTTTCATTGTCCAACATCCTCAACATTTCCCAGAAACCACAGTCACATCATGTGTCTTGACCTGCAGAGATTTTCAGTGACAAAGTTATATCTTATCTGTGTGAAACTTACACAGAATTGAAGTGGCATTTTGATCAACACTGTAACTGTAAAAGGAATATTTCAAAATAAAATGGCAAATAATTACAAGTATGCCCAAGTAATGGGCAAAAATATCCCAATTGGTAGATTGGCGTCTCTTAGCAACTACATTATAAATGCCAACTCTAGCCTTGTAGGTCAATTGTCTCAGAAAACACAATTGACTATTATCACAGTTAGAGAACAGACAATAGTGGTGAAGGGTTATTTCTCGGACTGGAAGAAGGGATCCAGTAGGTTCCCCAGCAGTCAGTACTGGGACTATTGCTTTCCTTGATATTTTAATGCCTTTGTCTTGGTTGCACAGGGCACAATTCAAAATCTGTAAATGACACACAATTTGAAAAGTATTTTGAATTTTGAGGAGGACAGAGATGGATTTCAAGAGGACGCAGATTTGTTCAGAAGAACAAAAAGAAAGAAAATACAAATAAAAAGGTTAAATTGTAAACGTAGCGCAAGAACAGAGAGACTTCGGGTATATGCGCATAATTCATTGAAGATGACAGGGCAGTTTGAAAATAGAGCTTTTAAAGACATGTAGGCTCTTAAGTTTTATAGATAGAGGCATACGGTACAAAAAGAAAGGAAGTTATATGAACCTTTATAAACACAGGTTTGGCCTCAACAGGAGAAGCACTGTACCCAATTATGGGCATCACACTTCAGGAAGGATGTTAATACCTTAGAGAGGGTGCAGGAATAATTTAGGGATGAGGGATTTCAGTTACAGGTATAGATTGGAGAAGCTGACTTGTTCTCCTTAAAGGAGAGAAGGTCGAGAGGAGATCTAATAGAGGTTTCCAAAATCACGGTGAGTCAACGCAAAGTAGATAGGGAGAAACTGTTCCCATTGGGTGGAACTGTCAAAAACCAAAGATCACCAAGTTAAAGTAATTAGCAACAGAACCAACGTGAGGGAAAACATTTTTACGCAGCAGTGGTTACAATCTGGAAAACATACCATGATGGAGTAATGGCATCAGATTCAATTGTTGCTTTTGAAAAGAAATCGGATAAGCAGTTTGAGTGTGTGTGTATACTAGGCTAAGGGGAACAGATAGGAGAGTAGGACTGGCTGAGACTTGCAGACAGATGGTACAGACACGATGGGCTGAAAGACTTTTTTCCGTGCTGTAATCATCCCAAGGTTTTCATTCTAAGAAAAAGCTCAGAAACAAAATAGTGTGATGCTACAAATCAGCCGTTAAAAACTGAAACTACTGAAAACTCTCAGCATCTGTGTAAAAGGAAGCAAAGGTAATGTTTCACATTGATAAGTTTTGTAATGATTATGCAACCATGCAATCCAAAAGTATTATAGAGAGTCATACAGCATGGAAACAGATCCTTCAGTCCAACTATTAAATGCTGACCAGATGTCCTAAATTAATCTAGTCCCATTTGCCAGCATTTGACCCATATCCCTCTAAACCCTTCCTATTCATGTATTGATCCAGGTGCATTTTAAATATTGTAATTGTACCAGCCTCTATCACTTCCTCTGGCAGTTCACGGCATACGTGCACCACCCTCTGCCCGTTAGGTCCCTTTTAAATCTTTCCCCTCTCACCTAAAACTAGAGGGCATAGGTTTAAGACTCCCCTACCCTTGGGGAAAGACCTTGATTATTCACCCCATCCATGCCCCTCACGATTTTATAAGCTTCTATAAGGTCACCCCTCTGTCTCCGACCCTCCAAGGAAAATAGAACCAGACTATTCAGCCTGTCCGTATAGCTCAAACCCTCCAACCCTGGCAACATCCTTGTAAATCTTTCCTGAACCCTTTCAAGTTTAACAACACCTTTCCAATAGCAGCATTATAACTGGCTTGCCAACAAATTTGGCTACATCAGTTTTTCTTAGTCAAGTTTTCAGGTTTATTGTCAGTCAAAACAGCATTGGCGGTGGTAAATTCAGCAAAGTGGTGGCCTGGAAATGATCAGAATTCCAGTTCTGGATCCCTCGGCAAAGTGTACATCCATATAGGAGAGGTCAAGATTCTATCACAAATGTGATGCACCCCATAGTTCAGCTTGAGAATCAAGCTGACGCATGAAAACTGACAAAAATATAAAAAAAGCTCACCAGCTGTCACTACCCATAGCCCAAGAATGAACTATCATGGAACTTGAGTATTGCCGAAAAAGGACACATTTTGTCAAAGTTTTTATTCTTACATTCTTGAGGATAATTCACAAGAAGTAGGGTGGTACTGCTGCTTCATAGCTCCAGGGGCCTGGGTTCGATTCCCCCTCGGGCAACTGTCTGTGTGGAGTTTGCACGTTCTCCCAATGTCTGCGTGGGTTACCTTCTGGTGTTCTGGTTTCCTCCCATACTCCAAAGATATGGAGGCGAGGTGGATTGACCATGCTAAATTGCCCCATTGTATTCAGGGATGTGTAGATTAGGTGGGTTTAGGGAATGGGTCAGGGTGGGATGCTCTGAGGGTCGGTGTGGACTTGTCGGGCCGAAGGGCCTGTTTTCACACTGTAGGGATTCTGTGGAAAGGTACCAAAGTAAAAGGAAGACATTTATAATGCAAGAGGAAAAAAAACGTGCAGATTATTCGGCAAATGAATTTCAAATAGATAGAGGTGTTACCATAAAGAACACACTAGTTAATGATGACTGACAGTTCATTGCCAACATTTTTTTTTTTTTTAAAAACAGGGCAGGTTGACACTGTTTGGTCCAGGCAGTTGCTGAGAAACAAACCAGAAAATGGCTGTCATCTAATTTGCTGCATTGAAACAGGCAGTGTGTGTGTACATCGTTAACAACAGAAAGGGAGATGAATAAATTTGAAGGATGGGGCAGGGTTCGAAACAGAACCACATGCAGTAATTAAGCAGCATTTGAAGGAAAGTAAAAATGGAGGAGCCGGAGATTAAAACATTTCTTGCCCTTACCCTGCCTGGATGAACTTCATGGCTGTATGGATTGGATAACCATTCGATCCAACAACATTACAACTGGCTTGGCAGTGGAGCAGGGATTTAGCTACATCAGTTTTTCCCAGTCGACACGCAATGTGAAGTGGTGTCTCGCCACTATTGCTCAAGTGATTCACTCCAACAGAGCGCTGTTTGCTGAACAACTGTGAATTAGAAACAGACATGAAAAAGGTGGAGAGAAAGGTCAGGACTTCTCCATCTGATACAGTAGGTGAATGTGGACTGGTTCATGGTCATTTAACCACTGTGCACCTGGGCTCACATCCAGCCTAAATGCACACTTAAGTCTCCCCTGCAAGATGGCCATTAAAATAACTTTGCTAAATAAATGTAGAAAGATCCAAGCCTGTTTCCAATGGGCACCAGCAGATTGAACAAACAGTCCATCATATAACAATAACAGACACTAGCGGGAGGCTTGGCACAGATACTTCACTTTGATCTAAGGAATTGAAATAGTAGTAATTTAAAGAGAAACACATGGATTGTGTTAAAATGCCTGTATTGATTTCAAGTCAATTCTGTTAATTTCAGCAATTTGCTTCAGTCCCTCAAATTCGGAAAGAAACCATATATCACCCTTATACGAATGTCTCTGAAAGAGAGTAAGATGCGGTCCATCGGTAGCAGTCCACTGTGTAAGCAAAAAGGTTTCCTTTTGAGAACAGCATCAAAAAACAGAAACAATTAGAAATCATGGTAAGGATGCCTGTGCTGGCAATATGAATGCAGGAAGGCAACCTTATATACTGCTTTTCACGATCCCCTGCATTAAAGCACAACCTGGTGCACAGAACAGTGGAGATACCATTCAAAGCATTAATGGGATTGATGAAAAAGGATCCAGTTCATGCTTGACGATTAAGATTATCTTCATAACGTTATTAAAGTTAATTTATTCCATTAAAATTGTAAGATGACTGTTAGCATTTGGAATATCACCGTGCCAAGACTTTGTCTACCTTTCGCAACTGTTTTTACCTGCCCACCAACCTTGTTACCAAGATTTATAAGTTTCATATTATAGCGAGCAAATTTAAATCCAGCCACACTGTTCAATTAATCAGCTTCTGATTGTCCAAAGCGACAATAGAAGATTTGATTCAGATAGTGATAAATGATGCTACAAGTTTCTTTTCATATTTCCTTTCTGTGGCAATAGAGGTTCAACAAACGCCAGTATTCAAGAGATTTTTGGAAGCTAGGCAATGGCCATAAAACATGTGAGTGGTTAAAATACAGCAGAAAATGATTAAATAGCAATTAGTAAACATGACTAGTGCTGTACCTAGGGAGTTGAGTGTCTAGGAGGAGTCGACCTGCAGTTTGCAACAAGGCGGTCATCCAGCAGTAAAACTAAATCGATTCTCAATATTGCCCACAATACTGTCTGGACTGTTGTCTACTGCTGTCTACTGCACACACATCCTTCAATGCTAAACCATAATTCAGAACATAAAAAAACAGGAGGAATAGGACAAGCAGTAGTTGGAGCCTAGCCTGCCATTCAATAAGGTTGTGGCTTAACTTCTACATTCATTCCAATTTCCTAATCAAACGCCACATTCCCTTGATTCTCTTTGCCCCTGCATTTGTTTTTTTTTCCCTCACACTGCTTCTTTTGCCAATTACTTTAAATCTAGCCATCTCATTTTAAAAGCCTTTTTACAAGCAGAAGTTTTTCCTTACTATACTGTCCAGACTCCTCATGATTTTGAACACCTCTATCAAATTTCCATTTAGCCTTCTCTTCTCCAAGGAAAGTCGTCCCAACGTTTCGAATTGGTCTTTTTAACTGAAGTTCCTCACCCCTGAAACTATTCTCATTCTGTTCAATATCTTCACATTCTTTCCTAAAGTATGGCACACAGACCCGACTCAACACTCCAGCTGAGACTAAACTGGTGCCTTCTACAAATTCAACTTAACCTCCAAACTTGCTCTTGTACTCAATCCCACTGATTATAAAGCGTAGGATACCAGATAACAAGGTGTAGAGCTGGATGAACACAGCAGGCCAAGCAGCATCAGAGGAGCAGGAAAGCTGACGTTTCGGGCCTAGATCCTTCTTCAGAAAATGTCAGATCTCAGATTCTCCAGCATCTACAGTTCCTACTATCCCTAGGATACCAGATGTTTTATTTGCCACTTTCTCAACTTCTCCTGCTACTTTCAATAACTAATGCATATATTCTGTCACTTGTCCACCGATTCATTCCACTAACTTCTGTATGCTTCTATTGAAGGTCTAAACTATGTTCTCAGTTTTCAATGCTTCCAAGTTTCGAATCGCCTACAAACTGTGAAATTCTGCCCTGCACATCACTATTTGTGAAGCTTAATTTCAAAATTACCACAGCAAAATCTTCAGAGTTAAATCAGCAGGACGATTTACACGTTTATTCAAAACCAAGGCATGAATGTCACAACACACAAGGAATCACACAAGGAATAAAGAAAACAGGATACAATTAAGAACAATTTAAAAAACAAACAAACCTACGGACATTGATTCAGGTGATTTTTGTCCGAGTCCAAGAGTCCAGTGAAGGTTAGGGTTATCATCGGACCTGAAACGTTAACACTGATTCTTTTCTTCACAGATGCTGCCAGACCTGCTGTGCTTTTCCAGCAACTTCTGCTTTTGTTCCAGTGAAGGTTCTTTTCTCTTGGAGTGTGGATTCAGGCAGGTTCAGCTGACTACAGGCAGAATCTTTTTTGTGGTTGTTGAAGACACAGCAATGCAGTTGATCTACTTTTCAGGTAAATACAAGGTTTCTTCCTGAAACTACCCCACGAAAGAGGTTGAGATTTGAGATTTTAGTCCAATATGGCATCTGACTGTAATGTTAGCAGCTTTGAAATCTTTACTAGACTGGAGCAAGATTATCGAGAAATTACAGAAGCTAAGGTGAGAATCTGGTTATGTGATTGTTTCTGGATGAGCCAAGTTTCAACTTGGAGGGCTTTCTATCCGTCTGGTCAGAATCAGTGTTCGTTTGTGAAAGGGCAATAGTGAGCCATGAGCATCATTTCACAAAAAAATGAGTTTCATAGCTCATGTGCAGAGATAGCTCATGTCATTCTACCTGACTTTGAGGGAATATACCTTGGCTGCTTTTCCATAGACAACCTAAACCTTATGATTTATGCACAATGGTTGCTTGTCCCTAAATGGTCTCCTAATGATACTTGATTCACCTCATTTCCAATAACAGATATAGTGGCTCTCACACTGGACTGGAATTACACCATTGTAGAAAATTCTCCTGTATACATCTGGGGAACTCTTTCCCCCATATTTGCCCTTTTCACTGCCACCATCCAAGTTTATAATTGAATAAAACATGTCAATCATTATAACTACAATAATTCTTGCATGTTTCTATAATGGAGCTTCATTGTTCCTTACTTCTCGGTAAATCAATTCTGTACTTGACCTCTCTGGAGCATGCTCCACATTCAGTAACACAAATGTCACCAACACATTTTCCTACCAGAGGTCTGAACATCCTTGACCATTGCTACACAGCCAAAGATGCCTACCACTCCATTCCCCGTTCACATTTTGGAAAATCAGACCACAACGTTGTGCTCCTCCTCCCAGCTGACAAGCAGAAACTGAACAGTTAGAACCCAGTATAGTGCTGGTCTCAGGAAATGGAAGGGCTTCTAGGTGATTGCTTACAGTCAGTTGACTAGAATGAGTGTGCCACTACCTTTACAGGCTTCATTAGTAAGTGTACAGATGACTGCGTGCCGAACAAGTTAATCCAACAGTCCTCAACCAGAAACCATGGATGAACTAGGAGATCCACTCTTCCACTGAAGTCCAGATCTGAGGCATTCAAATCAGGTGACCCTGACCTACACAGGAAATCCAGGTACGACCTTCGTGAGGCCATCAGGGACACCAAGAAGCAATACCAAACTAAGCTTGAGACCCAGACTAACCACATGGAACACCCATCATTTGTGGCGAGGCTTACACAACATACACATCCGCAAAGCAAAGTCGAACAGAGCCCAGTCTATCACGCAGACCAGCCTCTCATCCACTGACTTCAGCTATACACCCCGCTGCATCAGGAAAGCAACCAACATAATCAAACCCCTCCCACCCTGGTTATACTGTCTTCCACCCTCTTCCATTGGGCAGAACATATAAAAGTTTGAATGCACGCATGAATAGATTCAAGAACAGCTTCTTCCCTGCTGTTATCAGACTTTTGAATGGACCTCTTTAATGTTAATCTCTCTCTGCACCTACTGTAACACTGTATCCTGCACTCTGTTCTGTCACCCTGTTGCACTTGCATAGTACAATCTGCCTGTAAGGCATGTAAGACAACACTTTTCATTGTACCTCAGGACACATGACAGTAATAAATCAAATCAAATAAAATGAATGCCCTCCATGATCATTACTGCAACTTCTACCTCTTGCCTTCCTTTCCACAAAAATCTTATATGACCGCTTTCCAAACTTCTTTTTTCCCGCTTTATGACCCCATTTTGGTGCGTGAAAATTGCACTGACCTCAAAAGATCCTGGCAGGCGAACACATGATAGGTGCAGTTCAGACCTCAAGAAGCAGTCTGTTAGCCAAAACCCACCTTTTTTTAAAAAAAAAAATCAAGAATTTAAAGAGAACCATGCGGCCATAAGCAGCCAGTTCGAATTCTAGGGAATTCAGTCCCAGTTTTATTTAAGTGCAACCCTCCCAGCCTCTAAAAGTGATCTCTCCAGAGCTGGTCCCAGTGACCCAACAATCATTCTTCCAGCCGGATATTCATCTGTCTTATCCTGTGTAATATTCTCTCTCACATAGTAGTAGGAGTGATTCAGTGATCAGTAATGTTGAAGTCCTGCTTGCTACTTTAGTACCTAGTTTCCCAACTTCTGACTTCAAGACCACCTCCATTTTTCTGCCTATGTCGTGTGGACCACAACTGCAGGCTGCTCACACTTCCCACGGAGGGTGTTCTGCAGCTTTTCAGTGACATCCTCGAGCATATCAGCAGCGGGTCAACACGCCAGCTTGGACACATGCCTCAAGCTGCAGAAGCAGTTGTCCTGACACGAAAGATTAGGATATTAATGTATCTAAATAAAAATCACACTCTAGACCTATCAATAATAT